AGAGTATAGTATGTTACCATAGTCTCTTGAGACTGAAGGATGCCTAATCTAAATCTAATGTTTAAGCAGGCTATTTCAGAAGTGCATTCTCAGGAGAACAAAAATACTGGAAAATTCTTGGTAATGTAAAGCAAAAGGGGCTCAGTTCTACAAAAGGAAGACACATTAGCTCAACCATCGTTTACATTTCTCTTACTCACACCTGACCCATGGTTAGTACTTCTGATCTGATTCTCAAGAACTTTCTGAGAATTTAAGATATCTGTCTGGTTAAGTTAGCTGACTCAACTCTTCTGTTTATAGCAGGGATGGATGAAGAGTTTTTTAAAAATACTGTAGGTATAATATTAGTATTCATATTAGGTATAGTATGTGCATTATTGGGAGAAAGGTGGCCCATAAATAAAACAGATAAAATAAACAAATCAATTCATTTTTGCAGATTTGACCTGAGAACTTTTTGACTTGAGAACCACCTTCCAATACGGATTAAGTTCTCAAGTCAAGACCCCACTGTAGGTATAGTATTAGTATTCATATTAGGTATAGTATGTGCATTATTGGGAGAAAGGTGGCCCATAAATAAAACAGATAAAATAAACAAATCAATTCATTTTGTTTTACAAATGTCTTAAAGAAGAATTTGGGTGATTGGCCTAAAATTATAAGTGTTGCATGGAGTTTAATCCTGAGGTTTTGCAAACTTTAAAATTTATTCATGTTGTTTTTAATTCCTCCCCCCCCCCAAATCATTGTTGTATAAGCTGTATAGGGTGTGTTTTATACAGAAATGAAAGGTATTGAGGTTTTTTTGTTATTAAATACGTGTTTCCATAAAAAGAAATAAGCAACTCTTTTGAGGAGAGACTTGCATAATAAAGCCATATAATACAACATAATTGTGTCATAATTCACCCTATTATCTGAAACTTCTGACCAGCCCAAACAGAGTATTATAATGCTTTTGGCATTTTGGCAGAGGGGCTCGTCATCCTGCCTTCTGCCAGGATTGGCTAATCATCACGAGCAATGGAGAGATAGGAAGGCACTGTGGAGCTCGCGACAGCAGCAGAATCATGAGTGGTCGGCCTGCACCTGTGGGGGGCGTATTCGTATATGAATACGAATAGCCCCATCTCTATAGTAAGCCATTACTCTGAAATCAGCTACTGTGCAGAAAGATTTTAAAAGCTACACTCCATTGAAAACTACACTCCCAGTAATAATCTACGGGAAATGTTCAGATGCGGATGATGTCTGAGAACAAAAAAGGAGGTTCTACAGCTCTTTTTCTTAAAGTTTATATTGTTTTTCAAAGATATGACAAAGTAGGTTTTTCTTTGACCCTATCCTCTTTGGTAGCAATCTCCCCCACCTCTTTTAATTATCTGGTATACTACTGCAAATACATCTGTGCCATACAGGTAATTCATGCTTCTAAGAGAGACAAGACACAACCATAACAACGTAGAGTGGGCAAGGACAGGAAAGGTGACATTGTGTAGCATAGTCCCTTATTCCTCCAAATCATCTAGGTAAAGTGACCCACATCGTCTCATATATTTTGACCACCTTCTTCCTGTTCTTTACTATTTTCTCTTTTGTGGCCAAATTTATGAGATCTTTTCTCCAGTGTTCAATGTGTTAATATAATTGACAACTTCCGGTTCTGGAAATTATGCATCAAGGCTTCCCTTACGATTCACAGTTTATGACTATTTGCAGTGTTCCAGTCCTCATTTAATAATAAATACAAGGCCACAAAATGATTCCAACTTAGAGCACCACTTTCCAGGATTCCCTAGATACAGAGTTCTCAGAAGTAGTTTGCCCCATTTTTCTGGAGGCACCCTGGGGATGTGCCCAAGGCTATGCAGGCTGACTCCTCTCCTGGAATACACACTGATGGCTTGAACTGCACAGCCAGACACCTGACTCACTGGGCTATTCAGACAGCCCTTCCGGCCTTCATCACAAGGTGCTAAAGCACAGGAATTTTGCTTGTGATATTTGTTACTTTTCTTAGCAGAAATTTGTGTAGGCGTTGTTGCAAGTACAAAACTTACAGAAATGTTATTGGCCCTCTGCAAAAGTTTCTGGATGGAAACTCATTGGAAAAAATGTGCTTAAAGGAAGAGTTCCATGTCTGACCAAATTAGATTGCTATTCCTGTCAAAGTCTTTGCTTATGTTGTGTTTAGAGATTGATGTGTTTGTTCCTCATTGCCAGCTGCTCTAATTCCACTTCCTCTGATCATCATCTTTGTACTTGTTTAGGTTTCATATCCAGCCTTGGCAGAATATAGTTTTGTGGTGTCTGGGGTTCATCAAACATTGCCATATACTTGAATCTTGGATGGCATTGTTACAAGACTTCATTGTCTTATAAAACGTCATCGACTTCAGCGTATGCTACTTGTGTATGTGGGGTGGGTGGGGAGGAGAATGTATTTATGTAGGAGGATTCTGATTCCAGGCTTTTATTCTGCACAGAAGTATGAGTCAGCCTCTTGTGTGTTTGTACATGTGTACACAAGGAGCACAAAAACACTTTGGCCCTGTCTCTAGAGTTCTTTGAATCGCTAAAACCTTGTTTGTTTGTTTATTTCACAGACTATCATGGAGCAGTTCAACCCCAGTCTCCGGAACTTCATTTCCATGGGGAAGAACTATGAGAAAGCTTTAGCAGGTAAGTAAAGTGCATGTTGTCATGGTTGTAACATGACAGCTGTGGGAATGGTAGCCCTCTGATGCTGTGTCATGGTAGCAGAGGCAAGGAGAAAAGGGAATACCTGCTGCTTGCCTTGTCAGCATTGTTGCTGAAGTTATCTTGCCTATCAAAGACAGGGAACAAACCAGCTCTTTAAATAAGGATACAAACATCATTATCACACAGGACTTGAAAGGCTGTTGCAGGGCACAAGGGGAGTTCTTGACATGAGACATCTTTCTTGTGATAATGCGCCAGAAACCGGCTGCTGATTTAATGACAGTGAGATGATAAAACACATCTTGAGATTTTTCCCCATCTTAAATAGCCTCTCTGGATTTTCTTTTGTCTTTGCCATTAAAAACAGATGGTAAGAAAATACAGATACAGCATGAAGCTTTTACATGCGCTATACAGGAATGCTTAAGACCAAACTCATTCTTAAGCTTCCACAAAGCAAATCAATTACTGGTAAGCAAACTAGGGAGTACTGTGATATAGGGAATAAGGATATTTGTTGTTCTATACACGCTTACCTGGGAGTAAGTAAAGTTAGTGGGGGTTACTTCTGACTTAGACATGCATAGGGTTGGGATCAAGTTAACTGACTTGTTGCAATTATCTTGATCCCTTGGCTTCAGTAACATTTGGAGATGTCCAAGTCCCAAATTATACAAGATCTGATTCTGGAGGAGGATGGAGATCTGGCATGCATAACTGAAACATGGATGGGCAGGGAAGGGGGCGTTCCCCTGACTCTTGCCTGCCCTCCCAGTTATGCAGTCCAACACCAGGGTAGACTGGAGGGGTGGGGCGGGGGAGTAGCCATTGTGTACAAAAACACGCTTCAGGTTGTTAGGCGCTCTGCTCTGGTGACACCAGGTCCAGAGACCCTCCACGTGTCGATTGGGGCCAGGGATTATATAGGGATCTTGCTGGGTTACCGCACTTCCCACGACCCAGCCATTTCCTTACCGGAGCTGACAGACTTTGTCTCCGTGGCACCCTTGGGGTCCCCAAGGGTTTTGGTCTTGAGTGACTTCAACGTGCATGCGGAGGCGGAGGTTTCCGGTCCAGCTCTTGAGTTCCTGGAGACCATGGCCTCTTTGGACATGTCCCAACATGTCAATGGCCCTACCCACGTGGGTGGCCACATACTGGACCTGGTGTTCTCCACTGAGCAGAGTGAGTGTGGTCTGATGGTGTTTGTTCCCTTGTCATGGTTGGGTCATTGCTTAATTAAATGCAACCTCACAGTGGCTCTCCCTCCCCATGGGGAGTAAGAACCTGTTTTAATGGTCCGCCCTTGAAGGTTATTCAATCCTATAGGATTCCAGGATACCATGACAGAGATTCCAGCTGATTTGACTGGCGCTCCTGTCGAGACTCTGTTTGATAGCTGGCTGGCCAACGCCACCAGGGCTGTTGACACAATTGCACCTAAACGCCCTCTTCGGCGCAGAGATCGCCCTTCGCCCTGGTTTAACCAGGAGCTGCGATCAAAGAAGCAAAATAGGAGAAGGCGAGAACACATGTGGAGGTGGAACCCGGTGGAAAATAATCAAATAGCTGTCAGGATCGTGACTAACCTTTACCAATCTAAGGTGAAGGCTGCTAGTCGATCTTACTTCGCTGTGCGGATAAGTGAAGCCTCCAACCAGCAGGCATAACTTTTTGGTATAGTTCGTGATCTATCCAGAGCAACCAGCAGGCATAACTTTTTGGTATAGTTTGTGATCTATCCAGAGCTGGTCATAGTGATTGGCCTCCCACTAGCATCTTACCTGACCAATTTGTAGCCTTTTAAAAATAAAAAATGGAGGCCATCCGCCAGGATCTCACCCCCTATTTGAAAACAGTGGATTGAGCTGAGATGTCCAGCACTCCGTCTTGCCCCGGTGAAACGTAACCACTTTCAGCCTGTGACGGCAGACATAATTGACAGAGTGCTTGACCACTGTCGTGCCACCACCTCCTCCCTTGACCCTTGACCGGCCTGGCTAATCAAAGCAGCCGGGCCTATAACATCTGAATGGGCTATGGCAATAATTAATGGATCTCTCAAAGAGACATTCATTAGGCCCATTAGTTAAAATTCAATGGAATAAAATAAAATGATTAAAATACAATTAAAATACAATTAAAATTGCCATCATTAAGACCCACAGTTAATGTTATTTCAATTAAAAGCCTTCTGGAACAGGAAGGTTTTGACCTGGCGCCGAAATATCATCAGTGTCGGCGCCAGGCGAATTTCAGTTGGGAGGGCGTTCCATATTCTGGGGGCAGCTGCCGAGAAGGCCCTTTGTCTACAAGCCATCCCTCTTACCTCCTTGAGGGATGGCTCTTTCAAAAGGGCCCCCTGGCTAGATCTTAACAGCCTGGTAGGCTCATATGGAAGGAGGCGGTCCTTCAAGTATCCAGGGCCCAAGCCGTTTAGGGCTTTATATGTCAAAACAAGCACTTTGAATTGGGCCCGGACAGCAACTGGTAACCAGTGTAAATTATACAGAATCGGCTTGATGTGCTCTCTGGCGGCCCCACCACTCACCAGCCGCGCAGCTCGATTCTGAACCAGTTGCAGTCGCTGGACCGTCTTCAAAGGCAGCCCCACGTAGAGCGCATTGCAATAATCAATACGAGATGTTACCAGTGCATGTGTAACTGTCATGAGACTCCACTCGTCCAGGTAGGGCCGTAGCTGGTATAATTTCCGCAGCTGAAGGAAGGCACCCCTGGCCACCGAGTCCACCTGAGCTTCCAAAGTTAGACTGGGGTCCAGGAGCACCCCCAGGCTGCGGACCCTGTCCCTTAGGGGGAGTGTAACCCCATTCAGGACAGGGAAGTGGCCCTCCAACCTGTCCGGCGAAGCACCCACTAACAGCACTTCCGTCTTGTCTGGATTGAGTTTCAATTTATTAACCCTCATCCAGTCCATTATCAGGTCCAGACACGAGTTCAGCACAGAAACCGCCTCACCTGGATTGGTGGAAAACGAGAGGTAGAGCTGAGTATCATCAGCATATTGCTGACTCCTCAGCCCAAACCTCCTGATGACCTCTCCCAGCGGTTTCATGTAGATGTTAAACAGCATGGGGGACAGTATCGAGCCCTGAGGAACCCCATGACATGAATGCCATGGGGCAGAGCAACTGTCCCTCAGCACCACCCTCTGGACACGGTCAGCCAGGAAGGAGCGGAACCACCGTAAAACAGTGCCCCCAACTCCCAACCCAGCCAGCCTGGTAATTATAGGCCCATTGCCAATGTTTCTTTCCTCAGCAAGCTAGTTGAGAGGGTGGTGGCCGATCAGCTGCAGGTTCTTCTGGATGAAACCAATTCCCTGGATCCATTCCATTCAGGCTTCAGGCTGCACCACGGCACGGAAACAGCATTGGTCGCCCTCTTTGATGACCTACTGAAGGAGGCTGACAGGCAAAATGTCTCTGTTGGTCTTCCTCGATATCTCAGCTGCCTTTGATACCGTCAACACGATATTCTCCTGGGGAGGCTCTCTGAGTTGGGTATCAGTGGCGTGGCTCTTGCCTGGCTCCGTTCCTTCTTGGAGGACCGTCCCCAGAGAGTGCAGATTGGAGAGAGTTTCTCGGCCCCATGAAGCCTCAATTGTGGGGTTCTGCAGGACTCAATCATCTCTCGATGCTGTTTAACATCTATATGAGGCCGCTGGAAGGGGTCATCAGGGATGTGGGGCTTTGTGTCATCAGTACGCTGATGATACTCAGCTCTACATCTGTTTTTTCCAACAACAGTGGATGTTGTTTTGTCTGTTGAGCGCTGCCTGGGGGCCGTTCAGCAGTGGATGCAGGAGAATGGACTGAGGCTGAACCCAGGGAAGGTGGAGGTCCTTCAGGTGGGTGGCCCAGACATTAGTGGTTTGGGAAACTCCTCCTCTTTGGGATGTGTGTGTCTCTTACCACCAAGAGTGAGGTTCGCAGTTTGGGTGTACATCTGGACCTGGCGCTCACCATGGAGACCCAAGTGTCATCAGTGGTCCGTTCTGCACATTTCCACCTTGGGCAGATTTCCCAGCTGCATCCCTATCTTGATGTGGGGGCTCTCACTACTTTGGTCCATGCGCTCATAGTCTCAAGATTAGACTACTGTAATGCGCTCTACGTGGGGTTGCCTTTGAGACATACGCGGAAACTTCAGATGGTACAAAATGTGGCGGCCAGACTTCTTACAGGGGTGAAAAGGTACCAACATATTTCCCCCACTCTGGCCACTTTGTGTTGGCTGCCCATTCCACGTTGATTTCAAAGTTCTTACGATTACATATAAAGCCCTAAACGGTTTAGGACCTTGATATCTGGCAGAGCGCTTTCTCACACCCAGTTCTGTCAGAATCACTCGTTCCAGCCAGGCCGGGCGGCTGAGGGGCTTAACGCCGAGGGAGGTCCAGAGGGAAAGGACAAGGAATAGGGCCTTTTCGGCAGTGGCCCCTCGCCTTTGGAACAACTTGCCAGTGGAGATCTGCCTGGCTCCCTCTCTGGGTGTTTTCAAGAATAGATCTAAAACCTGGCAATTTGGGCAGGCTTTCCCTCCTGCTATGTCTTAATTTCTTATACTTTGCCCTCTTGGACCTATAATATATGTTTTTTGTTTTATTGTTTTAAAATTTGTAAACCCCCCAGAGTAGACCTTTGGTCTAGGTGGGCGGGATAGAAATCTAATAAACAAACAAATAAATATGTGTTAATTAGCCTGCTTAGGTCCTGCTGGTTTCAATGCATATTTAAGTAGCCTACCTGTACACAGATGTAACTGTTGTATAAGGTTTCATTGGCCAAGTCTACCTCCTAAAATGAAGTTAGCTCTTCTTTGTGAATGAAAAGCATGAGTCTTTGAAATATTACAGGTCTCTCCATTGAAGTACATCACAGTTAAACTCACAGCTGTTTCGTATGTAATTCAGTTTTTTAAAACTTTGCTTGATAAGGAGCCAAAGCCCTACTCAT